CAGCATAGCAAAGTTTGGAACAATATGATTCCAAAGGATAAAAAATTGCCATCATGATTGAAAGCAATAAATTGAAGGTATATTGTATTGTAATGAATGTTTAAACAAAGCTTGTTTATTGAATCTTTGATAGACTTGTGAGGTAAATGGTAAATATCAAGCCCGTGGTTGCCAAAGGATTCAAAAGGCTGAAAAACACAATACAAACAATCCAACTCCAAGAGATTCTAGCTTTTTCACCAACAATATCTAGAAACCTCTAAAATCACCAAAATTTTACAAAGAGATAATTTATTGAAAGATAGAAAAATGCATTGTTATGAAACATATCTATTGAAGCTAATATAACTTCTATGGCAATCCACACAAGAATGGATGGTGATAAGTACAAGTTTAAACTATTTTATATATGTTAGATTTAACTCCAGTTTCGGATTAATTCTAATTAACTTTGCCCTGGTTAGCTGCTAGTATAATTACTTGTAGGCGAGTGTCATTTCTCTTTGGAACTTACATTGAGAACACGGGGGAAGTAGACCTGAGTCAGGGCTGAACCACATACTTGTTGCATCGTCTCGTCGTGATTTCTCTGATTTAATGATTTCTCTGATTTATTGAATGTAATTCTTGTGATTTAGCTGTCACAATACAGAAGTAGAAGAAACTTAAAGATAATCTTACACTATCTTTACTTAACATGATGCATTGGACAATATGACTACCATTATATGCGATAGTTTCTTAAGCAAGAGCACTATATATATATATATATATATGAGAATGTCTAGAAGACGGGCCCGAGTCCTGTTTTTACTATAGAACGACCTCCCTGCGATTGGTTGGATTTTAAATCTTAAGATACCAACGGTTGATTGATGTTCACCGTCTTCAAAAGGGGGAGAGAGTAATTGCGCGGGAACAAGGTGAAAACCTGTCAAAGAATCACATAGAGAAGAATAGCAAAAACGAGAAAAAAAATTACGCATTGTGGTTACGTGCGATTACTTTGCCGACACTTTCACAATAGAGATCCACAAAATATTTATGAAACCGATTCGGAAATCATCAAACAAAAGGCATTGTTAGAATTAGGTTTGGCCACGGCCGATCCGAACTGACGGTTAACCGACGGTCCGGTTTAACCAGTCCCAAATTTCTCTAGAACCTGTTAACCGGTCCTATCTTTTTCATCACCTAGCTTTTGAAGTTTACGAAGCTAAGATGTTAAAATAAATATTTCCTGAAATTTTATGTTAAAATTTATCACCCAGTCAACAAGGATGATTCTTGTCTAATTTATTCAATTTATTTCTATCGGTCCTTGTTATCCATGTTTTTATAAAGAGCAATAGTTGATGCAATCTTTATGGGAGCAAATACATCGGCTTATGCTTGTCTGAAATATGTTATAGTCTCTAGATTTTTTATCGCTGTAATTATAACTCACTTGGTGCCCTATGATATCATCATTATTGTGATGCTCTTGGATCTAGCTTAATTTTTTCATACTTGTAAGACTTTGATAGGGAATCTTCAATTTTTTCTGATAAAATTCCGAATATTAAATGTTCTGAAAATTAGTCTAGGTTTATTTGGAGAAAATAACTCTTATCTTAATTTGAATATTTCTTACATATATCTAATATCACATATCATAATTTAATAGTTTGAATATTTCTAGCATCCCAATCAAGAAGAAGAAAGATTAATCGTAAACCCGACCAAGCCTGGACCGGTTAAACTATCAGTTAGCCGGTCCAATTAATCGGTTAACACTCCTAGTTAGAATGTCAAAATTCAAAATCCAACCGATCGTAAGGGACGTTCCGGAGTAAAAAGGGCTTTACATTGATGACCAACAAGTACTACTAAATGAGCTACTTATGATTTATGTTGTTGCATCAAATTAAATTTCTTTTACCCCTTCAATCCGTGAAAAGTTCAAATCTACTGTGTCTGAAGTTCTTACTTTCAACTTCGTAACCATTATCGATCTAGATTTCGAATAGAGTGATGTAAATAGATATTGAAAACTTTGTGAAATACATTTTCTTTAGGAAATATTTATATCGGGATGGAGAGTGTCTACCTCGACATAATCTGAAAGAAATGAACTGACATGGAAATATATGTTACTATATTTCTAACATGGAGCCTTTGCAAAGGAACCATCATCAAAGATTTACTCTACGCGAATATCTCTTGCTACCACTTAGTCTTGCATCATGTAAAAACAACTCTAGAAAACATTTTGCAATAAATGAGAAGTAGATAACGAGTTATTCGTATATACAGACAACTGTTTCCATTCTATGTCACAAAAGACACTCATATATTAAACAATTATTTATACATTGTGATGGATCCAGATATTAACACTTACTTATTGATCTTTTGAATTGCAATAGTTCTAAATAAAGCGTGAAGTTGAAAGTTCATTTTATTGGTCGTGTTAGAAATATTTCTATTAACATATACACAACATGCATGATCTGTCACTCACTAAGTTTCGGGAGTTCATGTAGAGGATGGAGGAAATCCTTGTTCTGGTTTTGACGAACCCGAATCTGTAATCTACTCAGTCATTATTCCTGCGTGAACTATTTCTCTCACCTAAATTTAGTCTATATCGCTGCTATGATCACTCGTAGGGGCTAAATATTTGCGAACAATTCATGTGAATAGATGTGAAGACAATATTATTGTAGAATAGTAATTGCAAAAAAGTCAAGGGCTAGACCTGATAGTAACTATAACAAATCTCTTAGCTAGAGAGATTCTAGCTTAGGTGAGTTCTAATTTGTGTTTCTACGATGGTTTCGACGTCGTGCCACTGGAGTTTAACAAAATTGGATATGCTCTCGCACGCAAGATTTTCCCATCCAACCGAATTTATCATACTTTTGGACATTATGGATTGCACTCAGTGCCATTAGAGTTTAACAAAATTGGATATGCTATCGCACGCAAGATTTTCCCATCCAACCTAATTCATCGAAACTTCTGGACATTATGGGTTGCACTCGTGTTCTGAAATCAAAATCCACACTGAATCGGAGAAATCACTTTTGGATCTGGAAATAGTGATATGATAGACAGTGCAATGTCAGTGGCAATACATCTTCCATCTCCAATAATCGTAAGTTCTAATAATAAGTTCTTTTGTCAAACCATTAAATTTCAACTCCAATAGATCTATAGCACTATACTACCACAATGAAGATTTCTGCACATATGAATTGTTGCGGACAATTTCGTACTTGAAATAACGGTGTGTTCTTAAGGAGACGATTTGACAATGACGTGTACCGTTCGGTGGGGTAATATCGAGTAAATTTAAACTTGATTGGGTCCATCAAGCAAATCTATCTTTTCTCATGACATTTGGAAACCATGAAGTCGACTCGTTTCTTCAAAAATAAATTACAAAACTCGAGGATTCGCAGTGAGTTAGTTGTATCAGGTGACACAAAGCTTTTCATTATATGGTCATTCCATAATGTTGGTTTTTTAACAATTACATGGATAACTAGGAAGAGTTTATATCTCGAGAACTCGATTTAGCAAGTACAAAATAGAAATTTACTTGATAGTACCCTATCAGAACTTTTCATTATATGATCATTCCATAATGTTGGTTTTATAACAACTACGTGGCTAACTAGGAAGAGTTATATCGAGAACTCGACTGAGCAAGTACAAAAGAGAAATTTGTTTGATGGGACTCCATCAGACCGCTGATTGATTGATGTGACCCAATACGTTCTTATACCCGATGGGACCACTCCGAGGTCCGTAAGTTATGTTTTTGTAACTGATTTGTTTCCAATTCAATGAAAAAAAAATATTTCTTCCCGAATTTGAGTTAATCAGATTGCCCATGTCTCCCAATCTACATCTCGGAAAAAGCCAATTTCTTGAGTCTCACAATGATTTTACAGGCATAATCTACTTACTCTTTACCTTTTTTTCTAAATATCTTGGAAATCATGTGGTATTTTGGTAAATGAAGAGCATTTCAATTTTCAACAGTGCCTCAGTGTTTTTCGTAGCCCGGTTTGAAAACAATTACAAGAACTCCTTCTCCGGTGGACTGCATTGCCATCGGAAAGGTCCCATTGGATAAAATGGAACTTTTTTGTCCATCAAGCAAATTTCTCAGTACAAAAACTACGCTCCATGTGTTTATCAAAAACTGTAGAGCACAGACATTTCGGTTCAAGCAGTAGAAACGGTCATTTCAACCTAGAACAATGCCACCTTGTGAGCCAGAAATTAAGTCCACGAGATGACAACATGGTGATAAGAGTTAAACACAGATGTAACATGAAGGATTTTCGGAGACTTCAACTGAAGAAGCCAATTGCCCATAGTAAAATCGTTACAAAATGTATACCAGTATAGAATGGCCAGTTTGACACACGAATGTATAATGCCACTCACTTTCATAACACTTCCATATTCTTCATTACTGTGTTCCGAGGAGCGTACATTACTTCCTGCATTACACTTAGCTGATGTGAATGAGATACACAAAATTTGTGTAAGTACGTGATGTGCATGCAGCACACACGCCTCGGAAGATTTTCGCCTCCAATGTTAATATGCTCTGCCTCCGTTTCACTACTCTTCCCGCAGATGTCATACACTCATGCTTCCCGGTCTTGCCCCCACAACAAAGGAAAAATACAATTTGATAGATCCATTTGAAACGACTCGATTTGCGCAGTTTGGGCACTTTTCATTTAAGTTCATTTAAGTTCCTACGCGAAACCCTCATCCACCATTCTCGGTTCTGCTAAGAACCTGCATGAGTTGGCTTAACGTTTTGAGCATACTCGATAAACGATAGCGACAGTATCACGTGGCTATATCAAGACCAGACAAGCTTATTCTTCGGTTCCCCTCTTTAGACAACAATCGGAACCGGAAAATATGATATACCAGATTTGTGGCTAGATTCCATCCAAAAAGCCCAAACCAAACCAAACCAAAGAAGTTGCAATCATGTGAATTTGACTCAATTTTTTTATAATTTGACCTAGGTAACAAGCCGTAGCAGTAAGACATCTAAAACAACACATCCCCTCCTGTAATCATTTCGACATTTGACCCTACTATCCAGAGATGCTTTGGAGGCAGAGCTTTCTAAACAATTCAAAGCTTCTGATAACTAGGTGGCAATAACTCCAGATTATTGGCCCACTGAAAGCCAACGGCCGGTTGGGCATCCTGTGGTACAACAGCTCTTCAGAATTGCGCATAATCTGCAACAAAGCAACACACGCACCTTCAAGGGTTGAAGCACATACAAACAAACAAGGCCTGGTCACTGCGAAACCAGAGGTGCCAAGTTGCTGACCAACCATAGAGGCCTTGAGAACCAGAGATTGGAGAATGAATAGGTTCAGTCCAAACTGACTTGCACTACACCATCTCAAACTTTTCTCCCGTCTATGCATAAGGCTTAGGCTGCAGGTTGCTCAACGGCTTCCTTGGGTTTCTCGTCCACTGAAAGTCCTCCAAGGGCGGCAGCAGCCGCATCCGCTTCTGCATCGGCAGCTCCATCCTTTCCTGCCATTTTGTCCTGAGCTTCTTCAAATGCGGACTTGAATTTTTGCGCACCTGCAGTGAAACCAAATTGAGCTCATCAACGTCGATAATTGCCTCTGAGAAATTGAGGTGAACGAAAGTTATCTTAGGAGAAGGTTAACTTCTGACAGAGAGCTCAACAAATACTTTTAAACATAACTAGAACTGAGATGTTCAAAAACAGAAACTTCATCTGCTTCGATCTTAGAGATTAACCATATCAGGAGATCTACGAAATGCAGGTGATAAAGGAAAACAAAAAGACTGCAACAGACTAAAAAGCAAGTCACAAAATCGCTCTATGCGACTGATGCAGCTACTGAGAGACAAGCTGGTCAGAAGATTAGACTGAGCTCCAGGTCAATCAACTTCGCTCTGTAGACCCCAGAGCAAAGTTGATTCCTTATCAAGTAAAATGATAATAATTGACTTCAATCAACTCAGGATAACAAATAAAGTAGGACGTTCTCGAAACAGAAAGGATAAAATCTGAAGGGCACCATGAAGCTATGCCATGTAACCGCAAACCAAACAAAATTACCCCAAGAATGGATATTAATAAGCAGGCAGCATGAAAGCGATCGCGAGTGGAGTGATATATAGCCTTCTCTGCATATTTCAGGAACTATATCGACCATTCCAACCGACTATGCCAACCCGAGCGCGTACTTCCTAACGTCATCATAAATGGCGTGGGAGAGGATTGAGGATGTGTAACCTACTACCGCGGATTGACAACCTCGATCTTCAGTGGTTACCCGGAGATCCATATGACGACTACAATCTGCTTTAGAGATATACTTTACCCTAGAGATACAGAATATTGAGGTTGCCAGAACTGTATGAATCATCATCTTCGCATCCCGGCAGCTCAAATGAAATCAATGTGACTCCAATGTTGCAGCACAAATGCAAGAGGGAGTGTAACTTACTGTCAGTGCTGCCGAGCCTTATGCAGAAAAGTTCTTCCTTCAACTCTCCATCGGAATAATCGGAGGCGTGCCATACCCAAGACTTGTCACTGCCGGCGTGCTCTTGGAGAGTGGTAGCAGGAATAACTGCCAATCACAGCAACTATTGTGAGCAGATAATCACTATGTAACCCCGATGTCGTCAACATCACTCGCGTAAATTGAAACGTATCATTCTTACACCCTGATCCGTACAATTTTCAGAAGCCAAGGACAAAAACTAAACCAAACATCAGCACACACAACATCCTCTTACAACAGTCTCTCCTTCCTCTAAAACCCCGATGGTTCCCACCAACGAGCCAGGAGTTCATATACAACACCAAGCAGAGTGGAAGTAAGTCACCGTTCGCTCCACCAAGACAATCTTGCCGATCGAGAGCGACCAGAGACTACACATACTGCTGCAGAAAAATGCTCCGGGTACTCCACTATATTACTAATCAAATTCCAATCCTGGATCTAAAACCTAAAAACGGGGTCATACTCGCCCGCTACAATAGCCTCTGCGGTCTTGTTCCCGACAGGCCGCGGAAGCAGAAGGTTAGGGGTTGACGATCCACAGAAGCATCCGGGAAAGAATGATTACCCAAGTGATTGGCACAGATCTTAAGAGTCCTGCTTTGACGCATAAGCAGACGGATCTTTCCTGACTCCTTATGTTGAAGAAGCTTTACTTGTCCAACTCCTCTTTCCTTCCACTGATTCCCATCCTTGTCAAAACGGTAGAGCTTCGCCTTTCTGTTGCATCAGTAAAAAACGGCCCCATGACCAGATCTTCTCCATGAACACTTGGAACTCATGCAATGAACTCAAACCACAAAAGCATAGCCAGAAGCCACCCAAAGGCATCCAAGAAAACAAGTAACCAAACCCTAACTCACAAGTCCAGAAGAACCTCTTCGTTCTCTTCTCCGGTGCTAATCGCCACTTCTTCCAGCCTAACAATAGGTGCAATCTGTGCTCCGGTGTCCTCCTCATCTCCTGTTACTGCAACTTTCTCCTCGGTTCCTTCCTCCGCAGTTGTGGCCGATGGAGCCGCATCGTCCTTGCTCTCGCTCGTAGTAGTGGTGGTGGCAGCAGTCGTCGCAGTCGCGGCCGCTGGTGCAGCAGCAGCTGCTGCGGTGGTTTCCTCTTTCTTCTCCTCTCCTCCGAAAGGTTCCCCCGCCATCTCTACCAGTCTCGATTACTTGCCGTCGACTAATCAATCTCCCTCTTCCTCAATTCGCGATTTCCTCCACCTCCCTCGACTATTCTCCCGCACTCTGCGCTCTGTTCTTCTCTACCTGCCTGTCACAACGAACGAAAGCACTTCACTTCTTCTCTCCTGCAGAAGCAAAGCCCAATCTCCACAAGCACAGAGCTCTTCGTCCTCCTCCCTCCTCCAGGAAAAGGCCTCCTTTTCTTCTGATCTATCTGTATTCCACGAAGCGCTCTTGGTTCCCTTCCCTTCTTTTCCCTTCTCGTCGAAGCTTTCTTCTGAACACGCCAGAGAGATCTCAAAGGCAGCCCCGCCCTCACCCGCGCCCGGCTTTGGCCCGGCCCGGGCCCCGGCCCGCCCTGCCCTCGTTCAGCCTCAACCTATATTCACGTCACAAGTTCTATTGCTCTCTGGGCGAAGAGCGACCCGTTTTTCTCACCCGAGGGAGCATGGCTCGGTTAGCAGGGAGAATCATTCGGGTTTTGTTGTAACGAGGATGGAATTATGGAAATATCTGTAGCAATCGAATAATGCGTTCATTTCCCATTCCCCGGACGAGGAGGAAAAGAGGGGAGGTTGCGAGTATCTTGGTGCGCCTCGATTTAGGATTTCCGAACCATATGGAGGCTGAAGGGACGGATGTGTTCTAAAAGAGGATCGGACACCCGATCTCCATTGCCTGCTACCCGACATTCTCCTCCTCCGGCAGGTCCGGCCTCCAGATGCTGAGCTCTGATTCGTGAACCTGGTGTTTAGGGTTTGTTCGCCAAACCCTTTTTGTTTGCTGTTTCCCTATCTGTATTCCTCTCCATTGTGTAGGCTCTATGAACTTCAGAAAGAGTGGAGCACCGAGTTATATAGCAAAAATCATGGAAATACCCCATAAGTAGTACGAACATTACATGGAATGGTAAGATGGGGCCAGATCCTGTAAAATCACTACGTGAAATACGAACTAGCGCATCTAATATATCTTACACTTTATTATTCTTCATGGACATATTGACAATCATCACTCGATATTATTGTACAAACTAGTATTTTTTCTTACATCATAGGTACACACTTCTATGTGACAATTAGTGAACTCTTCAAATTCCCATAATCATACTATCCACTCATAATCGATGACAATGAGTAATCAACCATGTGTAATTTTCTCTTGTTCGATATGTACACCCAAACTTAGTTTCCAACCGCAGTCAATTTCAAATCATAGCAAACATAGTAACGTGAGGTTATACAACCTCACTCACCACAACAAACAACACTTAATGAAAATAAGTAGTTGTGGATCGATCCAATCAAACTACATCATCATCGTAAATTTCGTTGGCTGGTGTGAGATATGATTGTGTGTTTGGATCTCAACATTTGGTAAAATATCATTTTTACAATGATTTCCTTATTTCACATTCTTCAGAATAGTTGAGGATACCCTTTCATAATCAAATAACTAAAGCCTATAACTAATATAAAGTCACAATATATAGAGTTATACCCAAGTGACGTGAAATCATTGCATTTTTTTGAAACCATGCATTTTATTTTGATATGAATTAAATGAATGCAATATAATTTGCAGTGCATGATTCCTAAAATTAAATACACTAAAAAAACCCCAGAAAAACGATTTATTGACATGATAGTAGCAAATGAAGTATACCATCGATATCATGATACATAATTCTATAGCAAAAATCTGTACAAAAAATATCACGCCAAGTTCTAAAATGACTAATCTGAAAAGTTGAATTTGGTACATAAAAAATCATTCAAATAATAAGTCACCGTTTTTAATATAAATATATATAATTAGTTGCATGCAAATTTTGAGATCTAGATTGAAGTGAAATTTGAACCTGATCCATATAATCTTCTATTCATACATACATACATGTACTTCAATACATCAAATGCAACATACATGCACTAGTTGAAAGTGTTATCATTGAAACCTTAAAATGCATGTTTTTTATGGTAAAAAATATACTTATGGTAACATGTAATACTGTGAGAAATACAATCTACATATATTTGCAAACTATCAGATTGTTTATCAATTTTTTATTGCAATAATATAATCGTAGGATTAAAACAATGAATCATATATACGGCTTGAAAATTAGTATAAAAAATTTGTGTAAAAATAAAATTTATGGAATTTTTAGAATTATCTAATTGTAAATAGTTTCATCTAATTTTCAATAATTATGACCAATAATATTTAAAAATATTTGAAACCTGAAATTAATCTAATTTTCTTAGAGTTGAAGTTTATAATAAAAAAAAATGTAAATTTCCATTTATCTGAAAAACTAAAAACGTTTCAGCTAATTAACGATTCAGAAAATTGCGTGTTTTACTCAATCAATAAAATAATGAGTATGATTTTGTATAGTACCATCATATATTTTTTCAATATATCATCAACAATATAATTTTTATAAACTTCAAATAAATACTTTGTGCAATCAAAATATTTTTCAAATAAAGACATGATGACAGATTAACTTTTTATCTTCCATTATTTTGAACAATATAATTTTTAATTAGTCCAAAAAAATAACATCCTATAAAAAATTAAATTAAAATCAAAGCAACAACATTCTTTTCATTGAAACCATTAAAAATTTTTTATTAATTTACAATCCAATAACAATCAAAGTTTGATAGTAATTCATTGATATTATACATAAAATTTCCAAGAAAAATAAATATTTTGCCACTCAATTTTTAAACTTTTTCAATTGTTCATATGCAAAATTCATTTCTGATTTTGTTTTTTTATCTTGTGCAATATAGTACTGTAATATGCAAATTATGTGACTTCATAATCATAAATTCACATAATATGGATATGTGAAATTGTACAAAATATATATATGAATTTTATCGTTAGATATAATTGCAAAATAATTATAACTATATTAACACACATAAGTAGTGTGGTAACGTAGTTTTTCAAAAAAATATTTTGAAAAGATGAAGTTTGAAAAGTAGATGAAAATATTTTTACACTTTTGGTAAAAGAATATTTAGAAATAGATTAAATAAAGGATTCTGTAGCATATGACAAGTTAGAAATAGTTGAATCCCTGTTAAATACTCCTTTGTTGGAGTTAGATTTTTTTCTTGTCGAAAATAAAGTTAAATTAGATGGATCATGATCTGCCAAAGTAAATACTCCATAACTTTGTCAATTAGTGATATCTTGACTTAGAAAAGACAATAGAAGTTTGAAAAGTAGATGAAAATATTTTTACACTTTTGGTATAAGAATATTTAGAAATAGATTAAATAAAGGATTCTGTAGCATATGACAAGTTAGAAATAGTTGAATCCCTGTTAAATACTCCTTTGTTGGAGTTAGATTTTTTTCTTGTCGACAATAAAGTTAAATTAGATGGATCATGATCTGCCAAAGTAAATACTCCATAACTTTGTCAATTAGTGATATCTTGACTTAGAAAAGATTTTTTAAATAGAACTTGGCATGTTTATTCTAATGAGTCCAAGAACCTTTGAAACGGATAAGAACTCACAAAGTTATGAGTGCAGGAAGTGGCTAGCATGGAAAGGCGAAGGCGAAGGAGGGACTTTGGACTTCGGCTTTACAGCAGAAGGGACTTCGGCGTAGTGAAAGGCGGCGTTGACAAGAGTAAAACTTTGGCCTTTGTACCACCATTTTGCACGAGTTCACAATGTGGTTAGAGCGTCGAGAGACGATAGTAGAAACGGGAGTTCCGCGCCGACATTTCGGGAGAGTTCATTTTTGAATTAAAAGTTTGTGCGAGAATCACGAGGGAGCAATTGAGAACGCAACAATGGGACGAGTTCTGAGACTTCTATTGAAGTCATTGAAAGTGCCGAAGTTTGGATTGAGAGCGTTTTGTAATGAGCTGATAGCTGTCAAGCTCATGGATTTTCGCGGCAATTGTGAAGGAATGGCATGAGGGATGCACTCCAGACTGCAATGAGATTCGTGACCACTATAAGAGTTGGACTATTGAGCAATGGGCTCATGTCTTAATGTTGTGTGCAGGTCAGGAATGCAATTACCTTTATGAAAACCAGAGTGTGAAGGTGACATAATTCGAAGAGAATATGTTCGCGAAGTTGTTCAAGACACCCCGATCAACAAAAAATGGATGGCGAATAACGGATTACCGCGATCCGCTGAGACTCACTGTGGCGGTGGCACTAACGCAGATTCTGAGCCCTTCGCGAACAACGTACATGGCAACTTTGCAAGTAGGATTTGTGGAACGCGCGATGGCAGGGAAGTCAATTCACTGAACTCAAATCTTGTGAAGTGTCAACGACAATAATGTCAAAGACAACTTTGGAAAATTGATAAATTATTTGTCCCCGTTCTTCATCAATTTCTACTCAGGTATGGGATTGTTTACAGAGAAAGAGGTTTGCAAATTCACGCTTGAGAGAAAAATTGTTGGATCTGGGATCTGGGAAGGAGCGAAGTTGTAAGTGGTGATGATGACGTTGAACTTGCACTATCTTCGGCCAAAGTTGACATGTCCGACGATGACATTGAAGAACGATCCGTGAAGAGATGAAGGAAATTGCACACGACTTCGGCTTCGTAAGTTGTTGATCGACGTAGCGAATTGCAAAATTGAAGATCAACTCCTGTGCAAATGATGAGGACAAGTACGCATGCCTGCAATAAGGTGAATGCACAACGTCGACGGAAGGAGTAAGTGGACAGTTGATAGTAAGAGAAGCAACTTTGCAACCGCAACTATCTTCGGAAGATTGGACTGCAGTGGGAGTGCAAGAAGCAGGAACCGAAGACAAATGACCTTTGGCAAAAGATCTTCGGCCTTCGAAGTGACGACCTTCAGATGTGCCTATGGATCGATCGTTGGCGGAAGGCAAAGAAGGAGAAGATGAAACCGAAACTAAGACTTTGGGTCTACGTCTTTGGGTCAAACAGGAGCGACTTTGGCCAGAGATCTTTGAACTTCCGGTGAAACATCTTCGGACGTGCGTGAAGAGTTTGAAAAGCCGGCGGTGGTGTCTACTTCGGGCGGAGTTTCTTCGGAGCGGATTGTGACAGAAGTTGAGAAGACTGTCGCGGAGCAACTTACAATGTCTTTGTGTCATGTGTCTTAGAGTACAGTTGAATTTGACCGTGATGAAGTACGATCAACAAGCTGAAGTTGGTAGAGTTTAGTTTGATTGATCTTTTAAATGATAGAATAGTTCCGCTAGTGAAGTGCTTAGATAGGAAGATGACGAAGTACTCGGTGTCAACGTCTACAACGACATCTTATTTAAAGTTAGGGCATAGAAGAACAAATACGAAGGCGATAGCAACTGCTGAAGTAACATAACGAGTTGCAAGCTTGACTTCCGAGTGTGCGACATGACAGTTATCTTGTAGATGCGAGGAAGGCAACTTCGGGCGAAGGAGTTGGAGTGCGAAGAACTTTGGCGAGAGTTAGATGTTGAGAAAAGGCTTCGTACACAGAAGGAGCTAGAGTGCAAGGGCTTTCGAGTTGACATTTCAACTGCGTAGA